TCGGCATGCTGCTCATATTCCAGCTCAACACCGTAGCTCAGGGATTTTTATTCATGTGACACAATAGCGCTCCTGTGAAATACCTGCTCCTGACCTGAACATCAGATCCAGTTCCTCATACACACACCTTCAACTTCCCATCAGCACTGCCACTCCCAGAGAATAAACCCTGCTTGGTTTTGATAACCTGAGCTGGATTCTTATTTTATGCAGAAGGAAAAGTCAGGAGACACCCATCAAATATTTCCTGCTTATTGTTCAGAGGGGGAGAAAAGTGTGGTCCTGAGACAGTTTGCCAGTACCTTTAGCTGCAGTGCATGAAGGAAGCTCCAGATTAAAGTCTGCAAGCTGAGCAGGAGATGAAATGACATGTTTGCTGCAGAGTAATGAGGAGAAAGCTGAGGTCAAAGGCAGGAACTCAATAAAGACTGCTCTGTTAAACGAACTCATCCAACAGCTCTAATTACTGCACATATGTCTCATCAAATCGTATAAACTGATTTACGATCGCCTCCTTTTTAAAAGTAATAGCCGCCTGAAGGTCTGCACATCAAAGAGGCTCAGTTGACATTGGTTCAGCAGGAGGATCCTCACAGAACAGAAATGAGAGCTTTTATTTCCATCAACGGTAGGTCATCCTGCTGAGTGTCCTGATCAGAAATGACACCCAGGATGCTTCGAACCGGCGAGGTAAAAGCTGGGAAATATGAGGAAGTTCGGATTATAATGATTTTGAAGTTGGCATGGAGTTATGGTAAAAATGACAGAAATGTTTTTATAAGTAATATAAATCCAAGCATTATTAGAAAGTGTGTTCTATGTAGGTTTCCCTTACATGTTTCCCAACATGATTGGTTGGTGATGCTCTCATGTTCTAAAAGGTCATCTGATTTGTGTGTAACTAAGTCTGACCTCCTTCCCTCTGATTAATGTTTATTAGGTCTTAGTCCTAGTAAAGCCCTTTCATGTTTTGTCTGTATAAAAGGTGCTCTATCAATAAAGTTGAATTGTTTGTTTGAATAAATTGAGTTAAAAGGAGTCAAAACCCAGTGTATCCAGTCGTGCTTTCCTCAACTTTTTATGGTCAGTCAGATTTAGGTGGTTTGCAAATTGCAATGCATCAAACAAGATGTAAAGTCTAAATGTTATTATGTTGTTTAAAGCTACAGTGTGTAATAATTACAGGGATATACAGTCAGAAATGAAATATATTATACATAACTATGTTATTTATCATCATCTACGAGCTCAGCCTCTTAACCTTAATATTTGCGTTGCCTTAGAATTCGTTATTTATAATTACATAGGAGCGGGTCTTGCAGCCATGGAGGCAGACATCTTTGCGCTACGGCAGCGCAGAGCCAACAAACTAGCGATTGCGAGATCACCCATTACGCTCAAAAGTAACTACGGCAAGTTGAGAGAGATGAACTGAGACGGTACTGAACAAGAGATGGCAGTATTATGCCTGAGAATACTATCTGTAAAATTATCTATGTAAACAAACCTCATCACTTGAGAAGGTAGGTGATGCGGACGTCGTGGAAGACATTTTGTCCCGTAACGCTCGCCGTACTGTTGGGGGGGAGAAGCGGTGGGGGGGAGATGTTCATGTTGCTGCGGTCTGCAGTCTGGACGTTAGATGTCGCTAAAAATTACACACTGTAGCTTTAAAGCTACATTTGGATCAATTTTAAAATCAATCTATCTGGATATGATTGGACCAAAGACGAAATCTGATGCACTTTGGTTTACCTTGAATTAACCACTTTAACATTATTATTTCTTATCGGGACAAAACTCATTTTGATTTAGGGTAAAACAAAAGAAAAAAATTATGATCAGTAGGAGATAGCTGCTCCTCTCAGAGCCTTCCAAGGCAGAAAAACTATTCTGATATTCTAATCCAGAATCAAAATAAATTGTGTAAACAGAGAAATGAGAGCATCACAACAAAGACGAAGCCCATGTTAACATTTTTTTTTCTTGGCAAAAGAAAATAATAGCTGTGAAGTAAACGTTAGTTAGTGAAAAGTAAAAAATGTTTCTTTTCTCTTATTTTCCCACTGTCATACCCAAATTTCCTTATTTGAAACAATAAAGGAATTCTTATTTATATTCTTATGATTGGCATTAACTGATGAGGTGACAGTAATAAACTCAGCGCAACAATAAAAAATACAACATCCTTCAGAGTGGAAGTCAATACTGTGAGAAGAACACATCAGCTTAGTTTTATTCAGAAGCTGAAGAGTGTAGTTTAAAATGAAGTAACAGCTGGTTGAGACATGTCTGCTGTGGATTTATTCAGCAATGGAGAGCAAAGCATACAGCTAAAAGGGAAGGATAAGAGGAAAATGCTACAGCTTTTCTGTTTAATCCCTTGTAACTGGAAACTTCTGTCTTTCGTGGAACATAATAGATTTTAAAAACTTCCAGTTAGGGAAGGTATCCTTGTTCTCTAGGGCACTGATTCCGGACATGCTAGACTTAAAACATTCCTAAGGATATTTGAGCCTATTTTTTTTAACTATTTTAGTTAAAGGTTTGATAAATTATAGATCTGGATTCTTTCCATAAACCGAGACTAAATTCTAGCATAAGTTAACTGGATGCTTGGCTAAATATTTCACCAGGAGCTGCATTAGTCAGAAAAGGCTAAGAATCTGTGTAGAGGTAATGGTAACTGTGCTAATCAGGTTTGTCACATAGGATGCTAGAAACGGTTCAAAATATGAGCTAAATTGTTTCCTCTTTCTTCAATAAAAGCCTTTTAACTGTTCTTTCAGGCTCTCGATGTGACATCACATCTGCTCCGGGAATGTAAAACTTCACCAACACTGGAGAACGGAAATTTCTGACATAACTCTGATTATTTTATCTTAAGTCATCAATCCAGAGATAAAGGCATGCTTTGGACCATGTATAATGAGGACAAACTGTTGGAGAGATGCGAGAGTGATGTCAGGTCCTTTTATTTCACTTGATTGTGTCATTCTGCATTTTTTTTTTTTTTTTTTGCAGACAGTCTTTAATTTAACCAGCTTCCTGTGCAGGAAGAAGTGGACGACAGAAATGACTTCTGTGCATGTGGGCAAACGGACGTCTTAAACTGCAACTCGGAGGTAACAGATGGCTCCCTAGAGTAAGAGCTCGCCTGCAGGGCTTCTGCACATATCATATCCAATTAAAGCTCCGCCAGCACATGCTTTCCAATTACAGGACAAGATTTACTGCCCCGAATCAGGCCTAATCCAACAGGAAGTTGCAGACATGCAGCCAGCGAGGGGAAGAGGCCGCAGCAGAGACGGCAACAAGCGTGCGTGAAAAGTGGACTGAAAGACAATATTAGCCAGCAGGTGGGGTTGAAATGGGGAAGATAAGCAGATACAGGGAAGTTTAAAAGGACAGTGGAAGAGTATAAAATCCAGAAGGAGGAAGTATAGACAATCTTCCCATAAATAACTGAGAATCACCAGCGAAACAACCTACGTGTGCACCACCATAAGTCACATTCAACATAAAATTAGCTTGATAAAATAAACATTTTAGATCCCTGCATCTGTCTCTGAACTCCTTGGCAAGTCTCTCATGCTCTGACTATGAGCCCATGATGACTGGTGGGCCAAACATGACACATGGAGTCATGATGCGGTGCATCGTTTAAAGTGCTCCCCTCCTCTATACATGATATTTATTATCAGGGGGCTCCACAAAGTACGGCGCCAGACTAAGAAAAGGAGGAGGAGGACCCTCAGGAGGTCTCCTCATCTGGACCTATTTACTGCTCCTTTTAGACACACACCTCCAGAGTAAAGGGGCTCTCCTCTGCCACTGCTGTTTAACAATTGGTATACAAGCAACAGCATGACAGCGAAGGAGACAAACATTCCCACCATATGAACAGGTCTGTTTTCACCTAAGAAGCTTTCAGAAACACTGCAAAATGAAAGAAAAATAGAAAACTATTGAAGGACTTGTAAGCTTAGTCAGAGAATGCACACTGAAGAGGTCTTTAAACCTCACCAAGCAAGCAGAGCTCCGCCGGGTTGTGAAGAGGCCAGAGAGAAAACTCTGGGGGAAGCCAAGCTTCAGGAGAGCCGGCTGTTTTTTATCCGATGCCTTTTCACTGGCATCTGTCCACCTTCAGAGGGCTTTGAGTCACGCTGAGGGAGCAGTGAGTCAGGTCCGTGACTATTTTTATGCAATCCTACCTAAGAATGTGAAGCTGGTACAATTAAAAACACACTTTCACACGGAACAAAATCTGATCTTTTTGGCCTTGATTTCTTAAATATTTAGTCAGAAAACTGAAAACAGTTTGAAACATATGGTACAGAAGTGAATAATTTTAGGGTTTGTTCATTTAGTAAACAAAGTAAGTTATGGATATTTAAATAAAAAAAAAGTAATATCTCTCAACAAAAACTAGTTCATTAGAAAAAAAAGATAAAGATAGATATTTAGCCGCCATATTTCCCAAATATACTGCAAAAGACATGTTGACTGGAAGAATTTCTTTGTCCAAAAGGTATTAACTATCACCCAGAAAATAGAAATCTGCATTTTCTCAATTTAATTTTATTCTATGTTATAATTTACTGATTGATGATATATGATGATCAATTATATATATATAGATAAATTTCATCTGAATTGCTTTTTTATCAATCACCATCATATTTACTGTACAACTCCTTTGTACAGTAAATATGATGAGTTCAAACAGAGATCAAATATCTTCTTTAATTTGAAAATGCTTAAATTAGAACATGAAACTGTCAAAAAATAAATAAATGAAATGTATTTCATCTAATAAATATGTATCTAATAAAGCTGACGTCACAAATAAAAATTAAGTTATTGCAGAGGAAACAGTAGATATTTCTGATTTGACATTTTGAAATAAAACATTTTCTCATAACAGACTTTGATGTTATAACTAATATCTAAATCAGCTATTACTTCATCTGGAGTATTAGTATAAAAACTTAACTCACCTTTGGCGACATTTCCAAAGAGAAAAAGCAGAATCAGGCAGCGTGGAAACATATTTTAGCTCAGAGGGGCTCTGCTTGTGAAAGGAGGCGGTGGTTAGAGGAGCTCCCCGCTCCGCTTGTTAATATAACGGTGCTGAAAGGAGGAGTCTCCTCCAGGTGGAAACTACAGGGGAGCTCTGAGGAGGACTCAGCGCCGCATCTGATTGGCTGACTCTCCTGTCACTCATCATTACTGCGCTGAAGCCGCGAAGCCCCGCCCACATCAGGGAGCAGATATGTGGCTGTAAACCTGGACTTATGAAGACTGTCTCAACCAATAAAGTCTATTTTTAGCTCAGCGTTTAGATGCAAATAGAGAGACTGTCCTGAAAAGGATAGACAAGGTGTTAACATAAAGCCTTTAATTGTTTTTTTGTTTTTTTTTTAACAGAATCTAGGTAATCTTTATTTTTGGCTAAACCTCTTTAAAACAAAGGCTTTGACGTCACTGGTTTAATAGCACAATGCTCTAAAATTGCTATAATTCATATATATTGTTAGTTGAAAAAATTAAATCAGTATTTATTTATTTATTTGTTATTTGATTTGTTGAGATAGTGGATGTCATTTTGGTTGTTGGCTGGCGGTGGAAGGTGGTTACACTTTTGGAGAACTGGAGGTTAACCCAGGGTACAGCTCACGCTAGCACTATTACTGGGCCAGAGGCGTAGCCAGAACAGTTTTAGAAGGGTGGCCAGGCAATAACCAATGTACACTGAGGGGTGGCCGCAAGTAGATAGGCACCAAAACCACCAAATAAAAAAGCAAAACATCCATATTTTCTAAATAAAGACAAATTATATTTTCCTACAGCCTTTGCTAACAAATAAACAGATATATTCAAACATCCGTACTTTCTAGATAAAAGGTATAGTGGATAAAATTCTTTCAGGTTTGAGTTCTGGAGCGAACATCTTTTCCATTGTCATTACTTAACTACTTTTATCAGTAATCATTCTCCATAAAATTGCTACTTATATGTACTAATATCTACATAAATTGATTATTTAATACGTTTTTATTAAAATGGTTATTTATCTATGATTTCACTGAAGACTCCTAGATCACTTGCAGAGACACATTTTCTCTTTACCCCATAAAACACAACATCTATTTCTGCTTGAATTCTGTATTTATCATCTTTAATATTAGTATATTGATGTGGATAATTAACCACAATGTTTTTTGTTTAGTTTTTTTTTCCTTTATTTAACCAGGTAAACCCCGTTGAGATCTGGATCTTATTTTCAAGGGGGACCTGGGCAGAGATCTGCAATACACTGCAACCTGGTTACAAAAATAAAACCAATTAATACATATGCACAAATATAAAACAATAAAACCAATTTAAAAGCAGTGACACTGTTTCAAAGAAGCTTGTTGTCTATCTTTAAGAACCGCTCGAAATTAGTCCAATGAAATAGTGTCTGACATCTTGAGTTCAGACTGGAACTGATTCCACGATGTATGAGCCAACACACTGAATGCTTTCTTTCCTTTATTAGTTCAAGTGTGTAGAAGAATAAAGACATTTGAGCATGCATTTGGTGTCAAGTAATTGCTAATATATGTAAAATTCAAATGTTTTCAGTATTACTGTTGCCAGCATCTGTATTAGAGTGAAATAAATGGTAGGGGTCGCCAATGATTAACCAAGGGTGGCCATGGCCACCCCTGGCCCCCCATCTAGCTCTGCCCCTGTACTGGGCATCTACACCTGTTAGACAGAGCTCTCATATGAGAGACCAGAAACCCCACCAGTTCAGCCCTGACAGTCTAGCTGAAACTTAAAAAGAAAATGCTGGTGCTCTGCTCCAGGGCAAAACTGCATCTTTTATTTGTTGGGTAAATCCCTTCATCTTTTTCCTTGAGGTGCAGGATCAACCCGATTTTTCTGTTTTCTGGATTTCAGGTTCAGTGAAGCAGGTTTCTATTAGTTTTCCCCACTAGAGCTTGATCAGGCAGTGAAACAAGACAGCAGCTTAGCTTTAAATTAATAAAAGTTCTTGGCCTTCAAACAAGTATGTCTAAATAATTCTGGGGAATGCAATGTAAACGCGAGGCTTTTTTAGTATGAAACCTAACTGTCTAAGAAAGCACAGACTCATTTATATATAAAAAAGGGGAAAAAAAAGCTGCTGTTCCTGTGCACCATTAAATAGATGTAGCCATTCATGTCAATCAGTTTTGGCAGGATTTGTTCAGAGACCCTTATCCAGCATCCTGTTAAATTGCTCACATTGTTATGTAACCTATAGCATCAACGTATGTACATAGTTTTGTTTGTTGCTTGACTCATACTCAGGTTATTTAAAAGTTTTATTCCAAACATGCAAAACTTTTATTCCTGCTTATCATTTTTTTTCTTGCTTTTAATCGTTTTTTTATACTTTACATCCTTGTTGAAGATGTCTTATTTGTAGCAATCGGAACAGTTTAGACAGAAGGCATCTTCTGGAAACGCATAAAGGTCTACGAATGGAGAGTAAAAATAAAAAGGCATGCCTAAAAACTTTAGTAATGGAAAGGTCCAAGGTTTAGTAAATGCAGATTGGCATGGGAACCAATAAAATACCCTTTAATGTCATTGTCTGTTTGATGAAAAGGCAATATTTATTTGCTTCTGGAGAAGCAAATGGATTTCCACACTAAACCCTCTCCTTGTGGGCAGTTTTTCTGTTTATATGCAGATAAAAATGGAAAAGCTAACTATGTCCTGACAGATGTGTTCTGTCTTCCACTTCTCATACATTTGTTTACTGTGAGTAAAAATAATCACTGATAAAGACAAACGTGTGTGACTTCATGGGAAAACTGATTGTCTAATTTAAAAAAGGACTTGTTGACCTTCATAAGTAATCTTGATCCAGATGAATGAAGGTGAAACAGTTATACACAAGTATACAGACCATGGGGAGATTTCAAATCATTCTACAGACTTTGGTATTGTGTTCCTGAATAAGTTCAAAACCAAGGATTTAAGCAAAATTCTGCTTATATAGGCTGAGGCTGGTAAAAGGCTAACGCTATCCACAGTAAAAAAAAAGTCCTTTAATGACATGGGCTGGAAGGCAAGGAGGAAGCCATGACACCAAAAACAATGTAACAATGATAATATTAAAATTCAGAAAGAAAAAAAAACATATTGGCATTGATGTATTTTGGGGGGGGAGTTATCAAGCCCAGGAACAAGGTTCCAACTAAGAAGCACGGAGGTGACAGCATTATGCTGTGGGTATGTAGAAAATGTGAGGAAAATCTGAAGCAATATATCAGAAAGTCGACCAAGAAGTTAAAGTTTGTTCACACCAGTTTTCTAAATGGGCAACATCCCTAAGCATGAAGCATGAATGTACCGTACGGAGGAAAAAGTAAATGTTTTGGAGAAGCCATTACGAACCCCTGACCAAATCAAAAAGCTGAACCTAAGTCATATATTAGACCCCTTTACTAAAAAAGAAGGAAATATCTGTAATTTCTAACTGATTAGTATTCTGTTTATTAAATAAAACGATTTTTGCAAGAACATTTTGTTTCTTAGACCAAGTCTTATGTTTAGGCTAAAAAGCTTGCTTCATTTTAGTTTTCCAGTTCTATTTTCATTCTCTAGATGGTGACTAAAAAAAAACACAGTGACTCAATGAAAAAAATAATAAATTTCTTAGAACACTCATTCTATTACCCAAACTCATGTTATTTTTAAGAGACTCACAACTTTTGCTGCTCACACCAAAATAGACACCCATGGTGAAACCGAGTCCACCAGCACTAATGTTTCACCTGTAATATAATTAAAGTTATCAAAATTCTTTTCACTAGTAACCAAATAAGCTTTTTTTCATATTTCTAAAAATAGAAACATATTTGATCATCAGTAACAGGAAGGTAATAGTCAAACATCCCTCCCTATCAGTCATTATCAGAACCTCATCACAAGCACTCATTAACTTTCAGCTTGGAAATAAAAAAAAAACAGCGTTCAAACAAATGCACAGTGTTAATCCTTAAAAAGAGAAGTGTTCCGGTATTTAAAGGTTGGAAATGGTTTATTGTTTGATGATTGGGTTCATTGTTCTCTGTTTGTCACATGCGAGTTAAAACTGGGAAATGACTATCCTTAAAGGTGTGGCATTTGATTTACATTACATTATCATGACAAAGCTGACTCAGTTTATAATGTTTGATTTTTGTGGAGAACAGGTCATGCTGATCATATAGCTTCTGATAATCCATGATTAACTTTGGTTGTACAAGAATGATAAATATGTTTTCCCTTTGTAGTTGTGTAAATGAACTATGCTATTCAGAGGTAGTTGAAATGTACAGCTTAAACCAGATATTTTTATACCTTATTTGAAGTGACCCATTGTTCCTCACTGTCTGACATTTAACTTAACCAGAAGTTTTCTGTTTCAAGTAAGTTGGGAGTTTAACTGATTAAAGAAAATGATTTACTCTCTTTTAATCCAGATGTTTCCATGTATTTTTCCGCGAGAATAGGATTTATCAATCTATGACTGAGGTGAAACACATTTTAGTTCTTCTACATTTCCTTAGATCTTAAAATCGGTTGGAGATCAGGGATATGTGATGGCATAATGTTGACTCTGCTGTTTTAAAGCCAATCCCTAAAGGATTCTGTGTATTACAATATCATCAGCAGCTGTAGTTTGAAACTTTTTTTTCTTAATGTAACAATGTTCACTTCATTTTACTGTGGTCAGTTTCATCTTTACAAAAATATATCCGAAAAATAAGATAATTGTCTTGAGTGCATCCACGAACTGTAATCTGCCTTTTTAGTTTGCAATTAAAGTAATGACTTCTTCCTTACTGAGCGGCCTTTCAGTCTGTGTTTGTTTGGGACGTCTTATTGCAAATAATGACAACCCATGACCACCTTTAGTAATCACCTTGCCACAAGATCTCTTGCTTTTGTTATGTTCCTCGGTTTAACTTGAACACTGTGGATAGAAGCTTGTACAGCCATGATATCTCCAAATGGGCATATTCTGTAAGGCTGTAATATTGATACTAATGATAACAAAACAATAATACTAA